ATATTTTAAAGCAACAGGAAAAATCCACCCACCTGAGTGCTGGCTGTAAGAAAAAGCTTCTCAGATGTGTGGGGGAAAAAAACCAAATTGCACCAATCCGTCAAAGCCAACAGGGAAAAGAGCGATGTGTTTACCCCTAGCTCTGCTTGATTATGCAGCAAGTGAGGGAAGAAATATTATGTACCATAAAAGTTTAATGCATTTGGCCCAGGTTTAATCTATAGCAGCGCTCCTATCAAGCTCCTCAGTCACTCACTCTCAGCCAGCGAAAATCCAGTGAAAGCATGTATTACTGTGTTTCACCTGGAGCTGTTCTGTTTTTACAGGACATGACAAAGCTAGCGTACACTAATCAACAAATATGGTAATTACAAAGCTGTTTAGCATGGTAACCAAAAGCAAATTCACACATTTTATTTTTCAATCACTTACAGGCTAAACTCATCTCATTCAAACCATTGAATTATTTAACAAAACACAATCATTAATTAACACTAATCACCCGTTTTCACACAAATTCCAGCTCTAAAGCCTTTTGTGTATAACTGGAAACACAAATCTATTAATAATACATCATACACTCGTATAAAAAGCACTGGTTATATTCATCATAGAAACATAAATTAACACACATGAATAACAAACATTAATTAACAGAATTATTCACACACTAATAATAACTGCAAGATGTATAAAGAGTCACTCGAAAGTTTATTTAAAGTACCGTCAAACTAGACTAGACAAACTAGCATGTGAAATTACAAACCCCACACAAGTTACAAACGCCTATAAAAGAGTTATATTCAACAATGTAAAATGTTTTACACGATCCAAAAGATAAACGATCCAAAAGAGGGTTTTCACAGTGATGGGACAGAAGAGAACAATTCTTGGTTCCCCAAAGAACCTTTCAATGAACAGTTCTTAAAAGAACCTTTTTCTGCAAAGGAATCGATTCCAAGGTTCTTCGTGGAAACATAGATGCCAATAAAGAACTTTTATTAGAAATTCACATCAGATTAATTAAGAACGAAGGTATATATTAAAGAACTGAACAAATCAGCATCACATCATTTGAGGGTGAATTATTTCATGATGAGTAGAGGGATCTGGGCAGCCAGAGCCATCATGAGGTGCCACTAAAGTGGAAAGGTTTCCACTTTCCAAGTGATATGTAGCCGGTTCATTGACTTTCTGAGATTTTAATGTGTTCCTTTAACCCTCTTCCTCATTCCTCAGCCCCATAGATGAGTTCTTTTTGATATGGCCATAAATGGTAACCTATATATCTGCATGAGAAGGGATTTGTTCTGGTGTCTGTAGAAGAGATTCTCTGGCCGGATCTTGAACAGTTACTAGATAAAGATGCAGAATGAATAGGATTAATATGTTTGTATTTTACTTTTGAATTGTACACTTTTTTGTTATTGGAGAACCACCACTAATCACAAACAGTGTATAATACAACAATGTAAAATTGTTGATCACCCGTGAGTCACTTCAAAGTGTTACCATCTGTGCTCAAAGAAACTGTACTTATGTTTCTGGTTATTTAAAAAAAAAAAAAACACAAAAAAACATAGTAAATATTCAAAATGTTAGAAATAAGCGTTCCTTAATTTGAGTATTGAGAAGCACTCAAAATTAAAAGAGCCAAAGCACCCGAAGCACCTTGCAAATAAAAGAGCCAATCATCAATAAGCAAAGTCATCTCTTTCTTTGTCTTCAGTTCTTGCAGTTTGATGGAGCTGCTGTAAGAAGTGCTGAGTGAATTGACTTGCCATGAAAGGAGCTTTGCCATAACTCATCCACTCCAGTTCTGAACATTAATGATTTCTCAAATCATGTGGCTTGTTGAGGAGAGGTACTACTACTTTTCTAAGCAATCAAGAAATCTGTAGGCTTTTCCTACGACGATCATCATATCGAGAACCATCAGTAGCATGGTCCCCCCCCCATAGTTCAATTGTGTTGAAATGCTAGCTGCCATTTCAATTGAAACGCATAACTTTTCGTGCAGTCCGACAACTAAGATCCTACAGTCTGAAATGGCTTATTGCTGGGATCATGTTCATACAGTCTGACAAGGAACAGTTGCAAATAACTATTATAAATTGTACAGTGTGCACCTGCCTTTCCCACACAAACTGATAATCGCCACTTACATATTATATAAGAGTATGTACTGAAACATTTCCATATTCTGTTCAGTTGGACAAGTAAGAGAAAGTACTGTAAATTCCAAGTGTAATCCAGTAAAATAATTTGATGAATAATCAGTTATTTTTCATTAACTCACGAGAGCAAGAACGCAATGTCTGTTGTATTTTTCACATTGTGAGAGCCTAAGAAAGAGAAAAAGACAAGAACCCGCAACACAATTCTTTAGTGACGCTGTCAAAGTGACGTAAATGGTTTTTTGCAATGTGACATTGCATGTTTCTTGTACTGTTTCTAACACATTTTAATTTACAAATTCATTAAATGTGGTCAAAACTCATCACAGATCACCACCAAATGCATTTACAATTATCTTTTGGGCTTTTTTGACATGAGCCATTCAAAAAATTCCAAGAAACCACATTAAATTTTTTTTAAAAAGTGTTATTTTTTTAGAAAATGATAAAACATAAATTTTTTTATTTAAACTGTTTGTTCATATAATTGATTTTAAAGTGTAGGTGATTAAGAGAAACTTTAAAACTGCGCTCAGGCACATTCCTCACTCCATTTATCACCAGACCATTTTTCACCCTTAACAGAATTGGTTTGACATTTAATGCTGTCTTTATTGCAGCTATTTTGGTCTCTAATGCAGCAATCAGAGATTTACAGCCACCCAGTCACTATTCCTATATGGGCTCTGCAATTTAACATTATAACACAGCCATATTTCCCTGAAAATAATGTAGCATATTACATTCTGGACTGACTGGTTGTCTTCAGAGAAGACTTCTTTCTGGAAATTGGAATGAACTATTTCTGAGCGAAAACAGCCCACTCTGTTCCTATGACGCATTTCTTAAATAGTTTTCCTAAATAGATTGGTTAATTAGTGACAAATTGATTTTTGAATTGAGCTCACATGGTGCGTCTTGGACATTTAATGAAACGTGAGCCTTAGGGAGATAAATGTAATTACCACAAATAAAAACACAGTTATAACTAGCTTCATTTACAATTGTTCTATGGCTTGCAAAGTGCCTTTATGAATGAGTTTGCGTCGTAATGATCAGACAGTAAAAATCATAAAAAAAATATGAAATGAGATATACAACATGAGGGGAAAATTGGTGGGCATCAGTAATGTTTATTATGGTACTTCAGCATGACTAGCACGGTAGATGGTAAATTAAATGACTGTTACTGTTAGTTATATGACAGTTTTACAACAGAACAGTTTTCTATTAAGCATTTATACTGCAACTAAACATACTAAATATCAGTATGAACATTTTTATGTGTAAATTAAGTATTTAAAGGGTTAGTTCACCCAAAAATGAAAATTAGGCTGTGTTTTACTCACTCCCGAGGCATCCTAGGTGTATATGACTTTCTTCTTTCAGACGAATCCAGTCGGAGTTATATTAAAAATTGTCTTTGATCTTTCAAGCTGTTTCATGGCACTCAGCGGGTGTTGCATTGCTTCAGTCCAAAAGAAGTTAAATAAAAATCGCCCATCCATAAAAAAAGTGTCTCACACGGCTCCGGGCCTTCTGTAGCGAATCGATGCGTTTTTGTAAGAAAAATATCGATATTCAAAACGTAATAATCACTTTAATCTAGCTTACGCTCACTCCTGTAAACTGGAAGACGTATGAGGTCAGCGTTGCGCATGCGCCGGTGAGTCTCGTGAAAAACAACGTTTGTTTACAGGAGCAAAGAAAGCAAAGTTTCCTTACTTTAGCAAAGGAAAACCAGTCTCCTCTTGGCTTATATCGAAATCCTCCAACATTCTTCTTTACAAATCCTCGTTTTGTGCTTCTAATTCGTGACGAGCGGCGCATGCGCAAAGCTGACCTCATACGTCATTCCCCCGGAACTGCTTCTGTTTACAACAGTGAGCGCAAGCTAGATTCAAGTGATTATTATCTTTTGAATATGGATATTTTCTTACAAAAACGCATCGATTCGCAGCTTGAAACAGCTTGAAAGATCAAAGACAATTTTTAATATAACTCCGACTGGATTCGTCTGAAAGAAGAAAGTCATATACACCTAGGATGCCTCGGGGGTGAGTAAAACGCAGCCTAATTTTCATTTTTGGGTGAACTAACCCTTTAAGCAGAATTTGTATTACAATTCCTATAAAATGTAAAAGTGTGGTCACAAGTAAAACTTTTTACACTGTAATTTAAAACAGGTTAGAGGTCTTGGCTGGTTGTAATAAGCAAAACACAAACTTCTACCAAAATTGTTTGTTCATTCATTGACAGAAAAAAAAAACACTATGCTGCAAAATGTGTGCCTAGAGATGCTGCAAAGGCTTGATTCATCATGTTACACTCTTAGAAATAAAGGTTCTTTATTGGCATCAATGGTTCTATGAGGAACCTTGAACATCCATGGAACCTTTCAAATGCAGAAAATGCTCTTAATAGTCGAAAAAGTTTCTTTAGATTTTTAAAATGTTCTTCAAAATGGTTCTTTTAGGAACTATTCACTGAAAGGTTCTTTGTGGAACCAAAAATGGTTCTTCAATGGCGTCGCTGCAAAAACACCATTTTGGAACCTTTATTTTTTAAGAGTATATATACAGTAAATGCATGACACATGACATCAGTTAGCTCTGGAAAATGTGTTTCTAGAAGCCTTGAGGAAAACATGTGATTGCACTGACACACTCGAGTGATGCAGACAAATTTGGCAGACCTCGACTGAGCACTCTCATTCAATAATTGATGCAGCTGTCTCATTTGCCACCCGGCACTCTCCATTTTTACTTTGATGCAGCACAAACTCAATTCTTGATAAGGCTGTAGATAAAATGACCATCATCATTACTGCAGTCTCAGAAGCTGTGGTGAGCTCTGGCTCATGGAGAGCACTGCGGCAGGCTCGTGGTGGCACTGACGGTGGATGAGACGGGCCGCTAGCATGAGCAGGATCCCCGTCAGCAGCTCCAGGGAGAAGGACAGACAGGCCATGACCAGAGACCAGCCGAAGGACATGTGGACGTGAGAAAGTGACTCAATATCCACCATGTGCTGCAGCTCCTCCAAAGCCTGCTGAGAGTAACTGATATAGATGCTTACACCGGACACCGTCAACAGACCTGTGGACAAAGAGACGTCATTACACTCCATTCACTCACTAAACAACCAGACAGCAACAGACTAGCAGACCAGCAGCAAGGGTATATTTGTAGCAATAGCCAACATTACATTGTATGGGTCAAAATTACAGATTTTATGCCAAAAATAATTTGGATATTAAGTAAAGATCATGTTCCATAAAGATATTTTGTAAATTTTCTACTGTAAACATATCAAAACTTAATTTTTGATCAGTAATATACATTGCTAAGAACTTCATTTGGACAACTTTAAAGGCGATTTTCTCAATATTGTGATTTTTTTGCACCCTTAGATTTTCAAATAGTTGTATCTCAGCCAAATGTTGTCCAATCCTAACAAACCATACATCAATGGAAAGCTTTCAGACGATGTATAAATCTCAATTTCAAAAACATTGACCCTTATGACTGGGTTTGTGGTCCATGGCCACATATAAAAATGTTCTCATAAAAACATAGAATGCTGTATTCCAACCTGCTGAAGCAAGCTTAAACCAAGATAAGGTTGTTAACAACTGTAGTCTTAAAGGGATAGTTCACACAAAAAAATTAAAATGCTGTCATCATTTACTCACCCTCAAAGTGTTCCAAACCTGTGGTATAGTATTGGGGGGGGGGAATACTATGGAAATGTCTACCAGCAAGTGTTTGGTTGCATTCTTCAACATATCTTGAATTGTGTTCCACAGAAGAAAGAAACTCATACAGGTGTGATACAACTTGGGGGTAAATAAATGGTGACAGAATTTTCATTTTTGGGTGAACTGTCCCTTTAAGCCAGTTTACTAACCTGACCAAGCTGGTTTTTAGACAGTTTAGTGGGGAAGCCAGCTAGTCTCTAACCAGATGACAACTGCTCAAAACCCCACTAAACCTCACTACAAACCTGCCTAACCAGCTTGGATAAGTGACTTCATTTATAAAACGTATAAATCTGTGTGTGTGTGCTAAACTCCAGATCAACGTTCGATATATACATGTTCATATATATGAAGAGTTCAGATGCAAAAGCCTCTAAGTGCCGTCTGAAATTTTCTTCTAAAAGCAGTATGTTCAGTTACTGTATATGTTCAGTTATTTCACTTTAATGGCAAAGAAAATAACCTATTCATTGTCATTAGAGTGAAATTACTGAACCTACACATAAGAGCCTGATAAAACCGCTCATTTTAAAAGAAAATTCCGGTAACACTTTATTTTACGGTCTCTTAACTAGTTGCTTATTAGCATGCATATTACTATAATATTAGCCATTTATTAGTAGTAATTAAGCACATATTAATGCCTTATTCTACATGACCTTATTCTACAGCCCTAATTCTACGCAATACCTAAACTTAACAACTACCTTACTAACTATTAATAAGCAGCAAATTAGGAATTTATTAAAGAAAAGTTAAGTCGTAGTTAATAGTGAATAAGTGTTCCCTATTCTAAAGTGTTACCAAAATTTCAAATGGCACTTAGAGGATTATACATATGCATATGATATGTGCATCTGAACTCTTCATATATACAGTATATATATATATATATATATATATATATAATACATAAAGAGTAGAAAAACTCTAATATATATATACCAATATGGACTCTTTAGGTACAAAGGTGTACATTTTGAATACGTACTGCCCCAGTGACACACTGTTAAAAAAATTAGTGTGAAATTACAGCATATTTCAGTTTAATAATTGCATTTCTTTCACAATAATTTCAGAGTGGGACTTCACTTGTGTCACACCCCTGGACTGTGTTTGTTGTGTTTTCATTCCCCATGTGCTCAGTGTGACCCAGTTTTTCCCCGTGTTTGATTATGTTAGTCAGTTCACCTGTGACCTCATTAGTTGATCCTCCTCACCTGTCTGTCCCTCGTTAGCACCTCTATTTTAGTTGTGTTCATTTCACTGTTTGGTGTCCGGTCTACTACGTCCCTACATGTGTCTCCTTCCTGTTCTGTTCTGGATTTACCCTTGTGTGGATTTATTAAAGACTATTTGCATTTATCTTTATTTTCTTTGTGCGTTTATCTCACCGTAGCGTGACAACTTGTATCTAACTGCGCTCTCAGAAACTTCTTGTAAAATCTACAGTACTTTACTAGCATGTTTTTACATTGTCCTTTAAAAAATAAGCTTGGCTTTACTGTGAGTGTACAGTTTTGGGGGAAAAAAATACTGTAAACAAACATCATCACAGTTCATATGTACTATGAAGGCACCCAGCATGCAGTGCAGCATGAAAAGATCATGTTGTTGTTTTTTTTATTCTTGTTGAACTTATTTTTGGTTAACTTTTAGCAGTTTGTATTGTTTGTTTATTTTGTAATATTGGTTTATGTTGTAAGTGTTGTTTTTATTTGTTGAGTGTTACCATTGTTGTGTTTTGTATGTTGAGTATTGATGCCAAATCTTTTAAAGGTCCCCTGAAATGCTTAGAAACACACAGCGTTACTCTGTGTTGATGTCATTTTAATGGAAACAGGAAGACAGGGCGGGACATATCAAGCAGCCCCGCCCCTTTTTAAAATGGCCAATAGCGTTCGTTTATATCACAGCTTGGGCTAGAGCCGTTGAGCTCCGTAAATCCGCATTTGACAGTTGTACGCCAGCCACAATCTCATCCATATTGCTATAAAATATAGCATTGTGTGTAGAATTCAAATAGCTCCGATACATTTTGTGGTCTGCGCTGACTCAGGGTGTGTGTGCGGTGCGGTGGTTAGCGTGACAGCGCAAAACCAGATTTCTTTTTTTCCTCAATGGAAAGCATATTTACACTGTTTGAATCGTTCCCTGTCCCCTATATAGTACACTATTTTATAGTGTAGGGGATTCTAGAGAGCATTTGATTGGACAGAAAGTTTGATGAGAAGCTGAAGTACGATGTGACGTCAAAAAAATCGTTGAGCCGTTTTGGCAGAAGTGACGAACTGCAAGCTTTGAATGCTTATATCTTCTAAATGCGAATTTTGTCACTGTTTTGGAGCACACTGCCTTAAGACTAACATATTGATACTAACACCCAAAAAACTTTCATTTTGATTTCATGGGGACTTTAAAGATGTATCTCAGCAGCTGCTTTAATATTGTGAAAGATCCATCCACAAGCAGTTATGAATATGAAATAAGTTATTGATTAAACTTCTTCATGCTAAGCATAGTTTTACTAACTGTTTTCATTTGTCAACTTCTGACATGATCAGAAATTTGAATATGAATATACAAGGTCCAAAGATCCCAAACAATTATCACTTCAAAACCATTACAGTAGTAATCAGCTAAATTTCTCACAGTGGCACAGTTAAAGACAACTTTATAATGTGAATTCACAGTAAAACAAGAGCAGTAAATTACTGTAATGTTAGCATCCTTCTGCTGTTCATTCACAGTCATTTGTAAGAAAATGACCCAGCATGCATTGATTTCACAATAAATCTCTGACTACATTAATTTATTGTAAAATAATACTCTTTAATCCTGTAAGTTCCTGGCATTTTTTTTTGTACATACAGTGCAGCTTTCATACTTTTATTTCTGAGATTCTTTTGTATTCCTAATGTGTAAATACTACTATGCACTGTATGACTTTTTGAAACCTTTAAAAACCTTACCGCATACCGGGCATGCCATTTTGTACTTTGCATTCTCAAGTTCAGGTGTTTTTACAAAACAGAGCAAATGGAAAGAAAAAGTGCAGTCTATAATATAGTTTCTCTCTGTATGAAGCATAGACGTCATTCCAGCCACAAAAAAGACAAAAGTACTACTGAAAAATGCATAAACTTCCAGCCTAGGTGAAGCCATTATGTACATTAACAACAGTTTGGGACAAATATGATGTAATTTAATGGAAAACTATGTGAGTGGTGCTCTGCAGCAGGAGTCTGAACAGCCTCCATGTGAAAGCTGTAATGGCTTGATTCATCATGTTCTATACAGTAAATGCATGATGGCAAAATCCTATAGAAGCAAATTAGTCTTTTCTTTAGAATGAAACTCAGCAGTGCACAAGCACAGAATATGACAGTCACACAGGTTAGTGGTGGGAGTATTAATAGGAAAGCTCATAATCACCATAGTAGTAAGAGAAGATCTGTGCTTTCCTTGAGACCTGCTTGAAGGAACCGTCATGAACTCAGCCATTATTGCTGTAATGAACCCACTTACATGAAACTCAGAGGAGCCCTGACCTTTCACGATCACTCATGATACACGACAGAAAGAACAGAAGAGAGGTTTTCCTGCTGCTCTGCAATTAAACATCAGTCATTTCTCAAACAATGCATTGCTTTTTCAAGACGGTAAAGAAAAAATGCGCTGATGTAGGGTTTGCTTCTGTGCCTGTCAGAGAAAGCATCAGATGACAGATGGATACAGAGCACATTTAGCCATTTTGTCACATTTTTGAATGTGGTTCCTGTCCTAATATAATGATATTAGTAACTTATTTACTGAGTTGAATTTCAGCAAGGAAATAAAGCTCTGCGAACATACAGTATGATATCTTTGGCGGCTTCACAGGCAATGTTTTCAGCATGGAAAATGTTTTTGCATGTCAACAATTCATTTGATAACAATTCATTTTGATAACTTTTGGGTTGGATGAAGATCTGACCTAAATTTGGTGATGAATAATTGACAGTAATTTACACAGTAAAGACCAAAAACTGCATCTGCAGAGAATGAAATATAAATGTTTTTTTTCATGAATCTTGTATTTTTTTCCTCTTATGATAAACTATAGAAATAGATAACACACTGTATTGTAATTAATAAACCTTAATGCAATCATGACAAAAATAGAGAATAACAAATTATTAACCAGACGTGCTACATTCAGCACAGTCATTAATAGAGAGGAAAGGATATGAACAAAGGAGTCAGTAAATAAGCTAAAATGTCAAATTATATAACTCCTGTTTTCACTGGCCTTAATTGTAATTGTATTTTGTAAATTAAAACAAATTGATTTTGATGGCTGCAACACACTTCAAAAAAGTTGGGACAGAGACATGGTTGCAACTATTTTATATCAACTTTCCTTTTAATTACACTTTTTAATCATTCCTGAACCGAAGGGACTAATTTCTGCTGGTGTGCAAGTGTAATTTTTGCCCAGTCTTGCATGAAACAAGACTCCAGCTGCTCAACAGTTCTTAGTTATCAATGTCTTATTCTCCTCTTCATGACTCACAACACATTTTCAATAGGAGACAGATCTGGACTGCAGGCAGACCATTCAAGCACATGCTAGCACATGCAGAAAGAGACTTGGCATTGTCTCACTCTAATCACGGACTTCTCAGGAAAAGACGTCAGTTTCATCGCAGTATGTCTCTGTACAATCCCACTATATGCCTCAGACTCAATGGTACCTTCACACGTATGCTAGTCACCCATGCCGTGGGCCCTGATGTACTTCATACCATGGCAGATGAAGCTTTTGCACCTGTCACTGATACAAATCTGGATGATCCCTTTCGTCTTTGCCATGAAGAATTCGATGTCTACTCACAGAAAAGCCTGTATGTCATTCCCACTTATATTTTGATGTTTTCTTCAATAACTCATCCGAAATTTTGTAGCACACATCCAGTGATAATCTCATGATTTCTGTTATAGTGATGAGAAGAAATAATGACAAAGTGTGATGAGGGTGTGAATTAATTATGTCATTCAAGACAGAATCAAATGCTGATGTTCTTTAAAGGGGTCACATCATGCGATTTCAAGTTTTCCTTTCTCTTTGGAGTGTTACAAGCTACAGACACAGGAGTAAAATCTGCTGATTACAGATATGCAAGTAAACCACAGACTGAATGCCATGAATAATGCCGAAAACAAATCATATCAAATTGTAGCTTTTGAATTTGATGTACATTGTAATGAATAGTAACTCTATAGTAATCAGCAGAGGTATACAGTAGTGCAAAACTACTATTTTTAAGCGCTTTATTGCCTTTGATGGCAAAGGTGACAGCAGATGAGGCTGATTCATTGTTGGTGTCTCGGCCACCGTGTCCTGAACATCTGAGCCCTGCTTTTGCTTTATTCAGATTCCAGTCCAGAGTCATCCATGCAATGTCCATCTTGAACACTGACACACTGTTTTACTACTACTTCTGTAAAATTTGTCCATATGCTTGTGAGATATCAAACAGTAGAAATTGTATATTTTAAACTGTAACTAACAGAAGTACCTTAACAATGTTTATATAATCATACACTGTACGTGAACATTTCTTTGGAAGCAAGCAGTGCAAAGCAAGGAAAATGATGCAGAGCAGTCTTTGTACTGCAGTTGAAGGTGCTTTTTTTTTTTATTTGAATGCAAATTATTTTAGAAAAATGTACATTTTAGTGAGAATAATTTGCTCCTGTTTGATGTCTGCACTCTTTCATTCAAGTCTGTGAAGTTTAATAGAGACTCAGTGGTTGGCAGGATGAGCCTTTATACATCTATTTGTCTGAATTTTTAACATTCCAGATCAGGACAAAACTATAAGTTAGAAGTTCTGTTGAGGAAAACGTCTAAATGCAAATAAACAACACACTGTGAAAGTTGTGCAGGTTTTGTGATTAATATCAAAGCACTTAATATTTCTCATATTCAAGACTTGGATTGTGCACTTTTCTGTGTCCATTAATTTTCAGATGCGCTCCTAACATCAAAGTATATTAATATAAACTGTTTTGTCCATAAAACGGTTTTTCTGCACACACAAAAGTTCCACACTTGCAGTGGTTAAAACAACGCTGCATTTGTTCAGTATGCATGCCAAACCAAAAGACCTGTACCCCCAAAAAAAGTACAAATAAATAAAACATTTGGTATGAATACGGTTAATTCTGTCAGGACCACTATCATCAAAGATGATTGACAATTAGCATACAGTTTGGATTGGCGGTATGGTTCTGCTCTGGGCAAGAACACCCTGCGCATCCATGCAGCTGAGCAGGGTAAACAGAACAGAACCAACATAAATGTATTGCAGATATCGTTAAAGTTCAATAATGTTATGTACACATTTTAGAATTAGTCTGATTCAAAGGAGAATCAGAAGGCTGAATCCTGACTGACAGAGGAGGAGTTGGGGATGGAGGAGGGTAATTAATTATTGAGCAATGCGAAAACTGTTGATATTGAGGGACCTTATATATGAATGCTTAGATAGGTGTCGTATTCCTATAGGTAGATGGGGATCAGTTGAGAGTCAGCTGATGCGAGCTTGACTAATGTAAGCTGCCAGAACTAACGCTACGCTAGATCATTACATTGCATTTTGTTTTTTTTTGTGCCTAGAACATACTTTGGATCTAGATTATAAAATAAATCCCCTAAACACATTAAACACATCAAATAAATCTGTTCAATATTTTTGCCATTCATTACTGTAGGCTTTGTGGATTATTGAGCTAAAAACCTCCATATCTACCCTACATATGTACGTTGCTGCTACACATTTGTTTGTTGTTTTGAAGATAGTGTCTGTTGTCTTTGAACTGTTAGCTATTTGTTTCTGCTGTTAAAACCGCACAAAGAGTGAAATGGGGGAATATTCTGGGAAGTTTGTTTATTTTTTGTTGCAATTTTTATTATTCGATTTTTTTCCCCTGTTAATAGAAATACCTATAAATAAAGTATTAAAAAAAACAAAAAAACTCCATATCTATTAAAACCCCTCACTGTGTGTGACCAGTTCACCTAACAGCTGCACTCAGCTGGAGCGCCTGACATTTTCTGTTTTCTTTCTTTCCCATTGTGTTTTATATCCACGTTACATACACGTGACATTGTCTGAGCCACTGAACGCATCTCTCACTGACCTATACACAACAACACAAACTCCAGCGATAGCACTGCTGAGAGCTCACTTCATTTGATGTGTGTAGATGGCCAATGAATGCCGTGTAGCTGTTAATGGCACTCACTGCAGATGAGGAAGTATGCAGCAATGCAGGTGAGAAGAGTGCAGCTCTGAGCCAAAGACGCCACCAGACCGAAGATCCCACCAAAGACCAGCAGCACCAGACTGAGAGGCAGCAGGACCACGATGACCCTGTGCAACTCTGCAGAGACACAAACAGGTCTTTATTACATGCTTAGTGTAACCTGCTGCCACACATTCATGTTTATAGACATCTGGAGCAGCTTTGTCCTTTCCATTTCAGTGAGTTTGATCTAGTGTCCACTAGGGGTGTGCAATGTTTATTGTCTATGATAATATCGTAATTGGAAACTGACATTATCAAGTATGTAACTCACTCACAATAAACAAATGTGGTAGCCTAGTAGAATGTCATTAGAATGACCCCAAAATGTAAAAAAAATGGGGGCAAAAAGTCCATTGTACACATTTTTGTCTCACATTTCTAAAGCAATTTCAAACGAAGAAGCATTTTTACCAAAGATAAGCATGACTGCAAATGTGATATTGATTTTATAGTTCAGCAAACAAGAAGTTTATATTGTCAATATTGCTCTATTTTGCTAACACAAAAAGTTATATAAATAATTAATTTGTCCCTAAAACATATTGCTCTATTTTGCTAACACAAAAAGTTATATAAATAATTAATTTGTCCCTAAAACATATTGCTCTATTTTGCTAACACAAAAAGTTATATAAATAATTAATTTGTCCCTAAAACATATTGCTCTATTTTGCTAACACAAAAAGTTATATAAATAATTAATTTGTCCCTAAAACAATCAGCTTTTTAAATTAACCGACGATTCAATGTGCCATTCATAAAGACAGTCACTTGCTTGTTCCTGAATAAATCAGCTGTTAAATAAAATGGTTAAATGAATGATTCAGTGACTCACTCATTAAGACAGCGACTTGCCACCACCTACTGGTGCTTTTAGATTAATATTTAAAGCATATAAAAACATATTTCAATAGTAAGAACATTATTTTTTAAATATTATTCTCATAATTGCAGTGTTAATTCATCTAAATGCTGCTTCTGTGATATTTCTGCAGTACAAAGAATGGATTTTATTAATACTGATGTCATTTGATTGTTAACAGCCTACATTGTCTTATTATTCTAAAATAATTTATTGAATAAATTTAAGAATTTGACATGAAAGATGATGCATACATCTAATAAGGTTAGAAAAATTGCCCTTATAAAGGTAAAAATGGAAAATCATAATCATATGATGCGATTTCAAATTTTTCTTTCTCTTTGGAGTGTTACAAGCTCTTGGTGCATAAAGAAGATCTGTAAAGTTGCAAAGACTAAAGTCTCAGTCAACATATTCTGTTACACCAAATACACAAAGTAAAGATCTTTAAAATAGCATCATATGACCCCTTTAAGATAGAAAAGTCTCTATCACTGCTGTGAACTAACTACCGCACAGAATATGAAGATATGAAAAGCTTTGGGAGACATCTGTCCACAACAGGCCTAAATCAGCAAACGTACTGGCACACAATCACACTAGCAAAGTAGCTTCTAATTTACGCTATCGACAAAATCCTGGAAAATATCGAGATATCATCTTTTTGTCAATATAGCACACCATATGACTACTAATCAAAGGCCATGAGCTTTGATAATTGTGCAATCTCTCTTATAATACAGGTGGCCAATGATGGATCAGGATGGATGTCGTGCAGAGAATACAGCTCTTAAAGAGAGCGAGAATACACTGTACATAACAAGCCTATTTCCAGTGTCATTCTCTGATTGTGGCTAATGTGTAGATAGCTTTCAGAGACTCACTCAAAAGGTGCTTCTCCTGCTCGGTGTGGTCGGAGGTGTCCGTGTAGAACGAGATGTCGTGGTAACTGCCATTCTGTCCTGTGGGTCACATTGAAACACCAGTCATAAGCTGCAAACACCCATCACGCTTCACACAGTTGCCTGCGAATCAGTTTTCTTGGTTATCTCGACATATTACAGCCTACAAAGTTCACCGCATACAACACACAGGCAGCATTTAAAGGGTTTCTTTTCTTATAAGGCAAAGCAGCCTTTGTGTTTGAGGGAAGAAATCATCTTTACTGCAATTAGAATGAAATGGAAAACAGTTCTTTTATGCAACAGATTTAGTAACTGTGTCTAACATTAAACATTTACAGTTGTGTGATGAACTGCTTCTCTCTTTGATTGTGTCTAGTGCCATGAAACAGCGACATAATTGGACGAGACATTAATTATGTACATAACATAAAAGAGACTCAGCCAGTGATGAGGACTGAATCTGTGAATATTTGTGAAATAACTGGTGCAGAATCTAATCGCACATGAAGGAAGCTCAAGTTGTTTGTGTTGTGATCTTACCTTCATGTATCCTCCAGAGTCCGGAGTGAGAGCTGCTGTACTCCAGGCTGGAGTTCTTCCCTTCATCCACATCTATAATGTACCAGTATTCAGTGCCGATGGACACGGCGAGCAGGATGAAGCTGAGCAGCCCACACAGACCCGCAGAGATCACAACTGTCCCAAAGTTCATCTTCATCAGCGAGAAAACCCCTCTTTTCAGGTCCTCTAAAGCCCAGTGTGTTCAGACACATTAAAGCACATGATTCCAGCTTTATTTCTCCAGATGTTTCCAGGCTGAAGGAAGAAGCAGCTCTCAGCAACAGCTGGATGAGGAAACCGCAGGGTTTTCTCGCATCTCTCCTGCACAGCTGTATGTGGAGAGAGAGCAGAAGCTCTGAACGCTCTCATACTCTCTCACCTCACTCTCGCTCTCTGTGCTGCATCTGATCATCAGCGACGAGGTGCTTTCTTTCCTTTCTTTGTAAATAGATTACTCTCTATATAGTGGCTTGTAAATACAGATATTTTGTTAACACAGCTTGCAGCTCTTTTATGTCAAGAGAGAGCACATTTATTACTAAAATCAACATGTTTTTTTAAATAAAAAGAAAACAAGTAGACAAGATATAAACAGAATAGAGAGTGTTAGTGTTAAAGGGTCAAGTGTAGATGGAAGAGATGTGTTTTTAGCTGTTTCTTGAAGATGGCTAAGGACTGCTCGGATTGAGTTGGGCAGATCATTCCACCAGGAGGGAACATTTAATGTAAAAGTCAGTGAAAGTGATTTTGTGCCTCTTTGGGATGGCACGATAAAGGGACGTTCACTTGCAGAACGCAAGCTTCTAGAGGGCACATAAGTCTGAAGTAATGAATTTAGGTAAAGGGGTGCAGAGCCAGTGGTGGTTTTGTAGGCATTAATGCCTTGAATTTTATGCGAGCAGCTATTGGTAGTCACTGCAAACTGATAAACAGAGGTGTGACGTGCATTCTTTTTGGTTCATTAAAAATTTATCTTGCTGCCGCGTTCTGGATTAATTATAAAGGTTTGATAGAACTTGCTGGAAGACCTGCCAAGAGAGCATTGCAATAGTCCAGTCTGGACAGAACAAGAGCTTGAACAAGAAGTTGTGAAGCATGTTCTGAAAGAAAGGGCCTGATCTTCCTAATGTTGTATAAAGCAAATCTGCAGGACCGGACAGTTTTAGCAATGTGGTCTGAGAAAGTCAGCTGATCATCAATCATAACTGCAAGGTTTCTGGATGTTTTTGAAGGACTGGTCATTAGTCGTGGCCTAATGGTTAGAGAGTTGGACTTGTAACCCAAGGTTGCAGGTTCGAGTCTCGTACCGGCAGGGATTGTAGGTGGGGGGAGTGAATGTACCGCGCTCTCTCCCACCTTCAATACCACGACTGAGGTGCCCTTGAGCAAGGCACCGAACCCCCAACTGCTCCCCGGGTGCCGCAGCAAAAAAAATGGTTGTCCACTGCTCCGGGTGTGTGTTCACGGTGTGTGTGTGTGTGTGTGTTCACTGCTGTGTGTGTGCACTTTGGATGGGATAAATGCAGAGCACTAATTCCGAGTATGGGTCACCATACTTGGCCACATGTCACGTCACTTCTTTCATATATCAGTAATATTTTATTGCATATTTGTGTTTTGTGATAACTCCCAAGACCCTGGGTTCAATTACCAGAAAATGCAACAATTGCATTCATGTTTACATGTTTACATTATTGCATTGTAAATTGCTTTGAAGTCTAATATTATCATGAATGAATGTTGACTTTAAAATAAAAATAAAAAACTTAAACCTAATATTAGACTGATGTTAGGTGTATTAACCTAAAAAAAAAAAACATATTCTTCAGGTAAATTGAAAAGTATCGTTTAGTGCTTGTTACCAAAAAAAAAACAACAAAAAAACACTTGACTCTGAGTTCTTTACACACTTTTAAAAACAAAGCTTCTTTATTGGCATCAATGGTTCCACAAAGAACTTTTGCCATCCATGGAACCTTTTCATTCCACAAAAGTTTCTTTATAGTGGGAAAAGGTTCTTTAGATTATTAAAATTCTTCACCCTAAGAATTTTTTTTTTATTTTAAGAACTGTTCACTGAAAGGTTCTTTGGGGACCCAAAACTGGTTCTTTTATGGCATCGTTGTGAAAACCCTCTTTTGGAAACTTTATTTTTAAGAGTGTATTGAAATGCGTCTTTGTCGTGTTGATTTTGTTTCTCATGAATCATCCTCAGTCTTCCTCGTCTGATATTTCACAAATACAAAAATCTTTTTTTTTTTCATCAACATTAACTGTGGAAAGAAGGAGAGATGAACACTGTTTTCACAAACCATATTCAGATTTGTTTTATTTCTTTATAAACAATACAATAAAATAGCCTAAAGCCCCGTTCACACCAAGAACGATAATTATAAAGATAACGATATTAGCGTCCACACCAGCGAACGATATCGTCTGTTTATTCTAAGGGCACGTGCGTCTGCTGCTTTAAATTCTTGAGCTCGTTACAGCAGGATGGATTCTGATTGGCTGTCAGTGTTTTATCGTTCATCAGCTGGAGAAAAATCGTTTTGAAAGTGATCACAATGATATCGTTCCTCTGTATTGTTATCGTTATAGTTGTGGTGTGAACTATGCTATTCTTTAATATTAAGAACGATTTTTAGAACTATATCTTTATCGTTATCTTTATAGTTGTGGTGCTTGGTGTGAACGGGCCCTAAGATAAGAAAGCCAAATGAACCTGTAATTTACTCCTTTTTTGGTGATTATATCTAATTATTTTACAGTTTGTAAAATCTTTTAGCACCACCTTGTAGCCACCTTAAAAAAAAAAGAACAATCCTCAACACACAATCAAGTGCAATCCCATTAGTCACTTCATCATATACAGGAGTTCAACACCCTGTTGAAAAAAACAGCATATGCTGGTTAGGTATGTTTTGACGCTGGGATGCTGGTTTAAGCTGGTCCTTTGCTGGTACCTAACCAGTCTTTAATGCAGCTCAAAGCAGTGACAGTGACAGGATAACAGACAGTGTACACCGTACATAATCAGTTAACTTATAGCACAGCAATATACAATATAAATACATATAGAAAAATATATCAAATGATGTAAGTATAAGGTGTGGTGTAGAGGATGGACTGTGAGACTGATAAAGCACAGTGCTGATGAATATCTGAATGAGGGAGATCTGCTGCTGAAGAACCTGATGCTGATGTTGATAACAGCGAGAAGCTGGAGTCTCTGGAGTCAGACATCAAGACACACCACAGTGAGAGAGAAAAACAACTAACAACAAAGATATCTCAGAAGCAGGCTAGTCTTACAAAAAGCCTGGCAATGAGTAAAGACGAGCAGAAGTAATAATAGTGCAGTAATAATGAGCAATAATGACTGACAACTACAAGATGGCGCAATTGTTCTCTTTTGGTCATGATTGTGTAAATGAATCTAGTTTCAATGACGGACACAAGCCACAAGATGCAGCGTCTGATCATCTTTCTTTCAGAAGTCAGAAGCTCATTAAAATCAGTCGATCAGTAGATGTCGTCTGGATGTTGATGTGATTCAGCTGAAAACAGCTCAACAGAAGACGATCCAGTGTAATGCAGCTCAGTTTGTGTTGTTATCTAGTGCTGTCATTTTATTGTTACTGAAAGTTAAGTGTCTTTCAGACCATAACTAAAGAGATGCTGCACAGAACTAAAGTGAAGAAAGACAAGTCTGATCCACAAACCTGCGTTGAGAACTTCATGAAGAAATACTACACTCTTAAAAATAAAGGTGCTTCACGATGCCATAGAAGAACCTTTTTGTCTAAATGGTTCCATAAAGAACCTTTAACATCTGAAGAACCTTTCTGTTTCACAAAAGGTTCTTTGTGGTGAAAGAAGGTTCTTCAGATTATAAAAAGGTAAGAAAGAGATGGTTCTTTAAAGAACCTTTGACTGGATGGTTCTCTGTGGAACCAAAAATGGTTCTTCTATGGCATCGCTTGAAGAACCTTTTGAAGCACCTTTATTTTTAAGAGTGTAGAGCAACACGATAACTCAACAACCAAAAGTTAAACTTAAGAGAATCAATGAAAACAAAACTTCAACCTCATCTTTCTCGCATCAGAAACAAAGCAGCAGTCACACATTTACAAAAAGAAAGAAACACCAGCACATCACACTGATATTAATGACCAATAAGATGATCTTCACACCAACATCAAATAATCACAGCTCTCTCTCTCTCTCTCTCTCTTTATATATGACCTTGGAGCACAAAACCAGGCATAAGCGTCAAGTTTTCAAAATTGAGATGTATACATCATCTGAAAGCTGAATAAATTAGCTTTCCATTGATGTATGGTTTGTTAGGATTGGACAATATTCGGCCGAGATACAACTATTTGAAAATCTGGAATCTGAGGGTGCAAAAAAAATCAAAATATTGAGAAAATCGCATTTAAAGTTGTCCAAATGAAGTTCTTAGCAATGTATATTACTAATCAAAAATTAAGTTTTGATATATTTACAGTAGGAAATTTACTAAATATCTTCATGGAACATGATCTTTACTTAATATCCTAATGATTTAATTTACTTTATTATTATTATTATTATGGGCATAAAAGAAAAACGATCATTTTGACCCATACAATGTATTTTTGGCTATTGCTACAAACAGCGACTTAAGACTGCTTTTGTGCTCCAGGGTCACAAATATATAAACTAGCTATTTATAAAAGCAATAGAAGTTGATACAATTTCAAAATTATGTTGATGCAAATTCTGAATTAGATAAGGTGTGTGTGTGTGTGTGTGTGTGTGAAAGAGAGAGAGAAACTGCTTTTGGTTTTTAAGTTCTTTATTAGTTCAATAAAGCCAAGTGAACAGCATCATACACACATAGATTACATATCAGAGGACTAAATGTGTTTTTGTTACAGACAGAGATGTGTGTGTGTGTGAGTTTAATGTTTAATGTGACACAGAGACACTGAAGAGTGTGAATAAGGAAGTCTAAATCCAGCGTGTAGAGGTTGAGTGAATGTGTGTGTGTGAATGTGTGTAAGTGTGTGAGTGTGTGTGTGTGTGTGTGTTTAATGTGACAGAGACACTGAAGATTTTAAATAATCAAGTCTAAATCCAGCGTGTAGAGGTTGAGTGAATGTGTGTGTGAATGTGTGTAAGTGTGTGAGTGTGTGTGTGTGTAAGACGCTGTAGAAGGACAGAGAGCCACTCGACTCGTCCAGAAACACTGCTACTCTCTTACAGGAGTCTGAAGCAGCAGAGATCTCAGTTCTCTTATCATTGTGACGGACAGTGAATCTGT